TGATGTAACGCTTCTAGGCTCCTCAGATGTCTCTCGAGGTCATCATTTAACTTCCGCAGGCTTGACGTGTCATTTGTAGCTGACTGTGTATTAATGAGTTCTACATAATGTTTGTTGATAACTGATTGGATGTCTCCAAACCTCTCTCTTAGAGTGGCAACAGCTACGTCATAGTTTTCATTTGAAAGTGAAAGTCCAGAAATAGCTTCTTGAGCTGCTCCTTTCAATTTGCTCTTTAGGTAATTAAATTTCTCTATGTTGGAGAGCTTTGGATTCTTATGAACAGTGGCCTCAAAGGCATCCCAGAATTCCTTGAACTTGATTTTGTCTCCACTGTAAGTAGGAAGTTCTAACTTGGGTAGTTTAACAGCTACCGGACCCGTCTTTGGAGTGTGTTGTTGAATCGACAACTCTTGAAAATGAAGTATCTGTTCCTGCATTCTCGCCTGTAAATGAATCATCTGTTCTAGTCTTGGGTCTGTCATTTCAGCAGGTTTTTTCAGAATTGATAGGTTTTCTTGTAGTGCTTTCTCTAGAATAATCAGCTGATCTGTGTGTTCACTTGCTTTGGTCAATAAAAGAAACACCTTTTCACTGTCTTCACTAAATTTCTCTTCTTCGCCTTGTTTAAGCTCTTTGTCTTCTATTGCCAATGACCACTTCTCCATTGTCTCTTCAAGTTTGGCACTGAATTCCTTTATACGTCTAATTGATGTTTCAACATTTTTTAGGAGAGCCGATGGATCCTCCTCTGAAATGTCGGCCGTCACAAATTCTTCACTCCTTTTCATCTCTTTATCTATAAGATTCCTGTACCTGGTACAGAGTCCCTTGAGATAGGTCACAGACATTTTCTTTTAGTTGAGTCAACACAATACGAAAGCTTTTTGGTTCCCACAACGGCTTCCCGGGTTCCGGCACCAATCAATGTGGCGACTGTCTATCAGTTTCTTGAATGATCACACAGGTTTTTCCTTTTTCCATTTTATATACATATGCAAACATATAAACAGTACAAAAACAAACATACATTAGACTGAAAGTAAGAAACATGCCACATTGGAAATAGTTACAACATACATATTATCTCAAAATCCTAGAAATATGTGTCTACTACTGCACAAGCTCTTCTATTAAGTCTACCTTTTAGCTTAATTCTACAAGTGACTGAAATATATATCAAAAACTTTAATTAAACGATCTGACTATCTCTGACTTCTGACAAAAGTCTGCTACACTACTGCTCTACTTATTTCCTGTTTCTAAAACTAGACAAAAGATAAACAAACGGATAAAAACGGAAACGGACTAAAAAATACACCATAAACTCTGACCTGACAAAAACGGACACATAAATAATTACACTTATGACATACAATAACAATGTCAGAAAATCATAATAAAATAGAAATGAATAGGAAATTAAACATTGTTAATGTTAACACATTCACAACACTCCCGCGACCAAAAATGAATCATGGTTTTAACCAATCTTTGATCTTCTCTACTGCTCTACAGGCGGCTCGTCTCTTAGGTCTCTCTTGTGGTGAGTCTCTAGCATCCGCTTCTGTTTTTGAATTGGTCACCGTGGGATTTTCGGATGAGACACTTTTATCACTTTCGGTACTTTGATCCTTCCTGTCATTGGACTCTGTTTCCTTTGAACACTCGATCGGATATAAAAGATTTAGTGGCCTATTAAGGGTCTTCTTATTTGGAAGTAAAACCTTTCCGGAACGGATCTGTCCATCTCTGCTAACGGTCAGTTCACACACACGTCCTACTTTCCAGGTTCCACGCGGAAGTTCATCTTTAACCAACACCACATCTCCAATCCTTGGCTCCATACTGTGCTGAATTCTTCCTTCCTTCAGTCTGTATGCTGTTCTTTCTCGCAAACTCAGGAGATAGTCATCTCGCCAGGATTTCCAAAAGGCATCAAGATGTTTTTGTCCCTTCTTCCATGTCTGTAATAACTTCTCAGCACTGCTGATGTTAGGTAGATACTCTGTGTCCTCTGTATCTTCTTCTTCACTATCAGGAATACCAATTTTAGGATTCAGTGTCAGGAAGTGAGCTGGTGTGAGAATTATGTTAGAATTTATGTCATCTCCCACATAAACTAATGGCCTTGAATTAACAACTGCCTCAGTCTCTGCTAATAGAGTTCTTAGTTGTTCACTTGTAAGACACAGTTTCCCAATAGTTTTTCGTAGGCATCTCTTCACTACTCCAATGAGACGCTCGTAGAAGCCTCCCATCCATGGGGCCAGTTCGACTATGAACTGCCATTTGATATCTTCATTTGCGATATAGCTCTGCACATCTGGATCCCTGACTGTTGAGGTCCAAATTTTCTCAAGCGCACTACTTGCCAACTTAAACTGGGAAGCATTGTCAGAGATAAGTTCTTTCGGTTTTCCCCATCGAGCAATGAATCGTCTCAAGCCAAGAAGGAACTCTTCAGTCGACATATCTTGCATAAGCTCGAGATGGATACCTTTGGATTTTTATGAACAGTGGCCTCAAAGGCATCCCAGAATTCCTTGAACTTGATTTTGTCTCCACTGTAAGTAGGAAGTTCTAACTTGGGTAGTTTAACAGCTACCGGGCCCGTCATTGGAGTGTGTTGTTGAATCGACAACTCTTGAAAATGAAGTATCTGTTCCTGCATTCTCGTCTGTAAATGAATCATCTGTTCTAGTCTTGGGTCTGTCATTTCAGTAGGTTTTTTCAGCATTGATAGGTTTTCTTGTAGTGCTTTCTCTAGAATAATCAGCTGATCTGTGTGTTCACTCGCTTCGGTCAATAGAAGAAACACCTTTTCACTGTCTTCACTAAATTTCTCTTCTTCACCTTGTTTGGGCTCTTTGTCTTCTATCGCCAATGACCACTTCTCCATTGTCTCTTCAAGTTTAGCACTGAATTCCTTTATACGTCTAATTGATGTTTCCACATTTTTTAGGAGAGCCGATGGATCCTCCTCTGAAATGTCTGCCGTCACAAATTCTTCACTCTTTTTCATCTCTTTATCTATAAGATTCCTGTACCTGGTACAGAGTCCCTTGAGATACGTTACTGACATTTTCTTTTACTTACTTTTAGTTTGGTTAACACAATACGAAAGCTTTTTCGTTCCCTCAACGGTCTCCCGGGTTCCGGCACCAATCAATGTGGCGACTGACTACTGATCCTGAATATAACACTGTTTTCTAGTTTCACATTTATTTAATAAACATGATAAACAAGCACATAAACATTCAACGATCTACCTTTCTATCTTCTGCTCTACTTATTTCCTGTTTCTAAAACTAGACAAAAGATAAACAAACGGACAAAAACGGAAACGGACTAAAAAATACACCATAAACTCTGACCTGACAAAAACGGACACATAAATAATTACACTTATGACATACAATAACAATGTCAGAAAATCATAATAAAATAGAAATGAATAGGAAATTAAACATTGTTAATGTTAACACATTCACAACAACAGTTGCGTCATTCTAAAAGACAGCCAAAATCAGGGGCCATAAAAGAGTCTTACCCATCTTGTCCTTTATAATTATATATAAAAACAAACAAACTGTATGTTGAATGAAATAAGTTAGCCAAAACATGATTCTACATTGTATATACTGTAAAATCGGCATATTTTCGTTGGGTCAAATTTTTGAGGTTTAATGAAGGGAAAAATATATTGTTCTGTATATGGACTTGATTCCGTTGTCGGAAAATGTTAGGTAGTAATGCATACTGTAAAATCACGTATTTTCGTGGGGTCAAATTTTCGTGGTTTGAGGTAAAACTCTTGGTTTGTGGGGATTTAAATTCGTGGATGAGGAATTGTTGAGAACGTAACATGTAACCTTTTACATTTCGTGGTGGACATGAATTCGTGGGTGTGTTCATACCTCGAAAGTAACGAAAATTAGCGATTTCACAGTATATGAAATTTTACATATATAATGAGCCTTCTGCTCAGGTGAGCTAATAAGTCAGCATAAATATTTTGCAAAGTTGCAACCTCTACATACATGTACTACAAGTATAATTGAATTTGACGTTGCTAATAACATGAATAATCAGTTAATCTTTCTTTAATTCAGTTAATCTTTCATTTATTTACACGTATGATAATGTACATGTACTTCCATAAAAAACAGAGTGATCCCATTCCACCTTAATTACTATGAATTAGTTCAGGATCAACTTTACATAAAACATCCGTACACAAACATTAAGCTTTCACTTTGAAGGAATCTGCAAGTAAATAAGTTCATGATTTAAGGAAATCTGCATTAATGTTAAAACAAAAACAATTACTGGGTAGGTAACCGCTTTCCACACTGTCTCATAAATTCATTCATGCAAATATTGAAATGTTTCATATTGATCAGTAATTATAAGAAATTATAATCGATCAATTTAAAAAAAAAAAATAATATTTTAAGACATAGATTAACATATCAAATGAACTTTAGTATTTAAAACAAGATGTGTTTGTAAAACATTATGCACCCAGCGGCAACAAAGTGCAAAAAGCTATTTTTAGCAAATATTTTGGACACAGTCAGGGTCACAGGTCATTGACTTGGTGTCATTTGAAAGAATTTGATTAGTGGAGTATGCATAGCAAATATGAAGTTTCTATCTCTTATGGTTCAGAAGTTATGGCGAAGGTTCGAACATCTCCAAGTTATTGAAACTTCGAATTTCTGGTAGGGTTTCAATGACACGTCCTTGCACTTTCACAAATTATAATTTTATTCTTAATACTTCAGAAAAATGGCAATTTCGTTGTATATTAATGAAAAATATTAAAACTGCAATCTAGAAAATTCAGAGTAAAAATGTTCGAAAAGAAAACGCGCTTACAGTATAAAATCAGTACTTGCTCAGTTTTGGGCAGACTTAACAATTAAGCACGCCCGGTGAATCGTAAACATTTACAATGACAGAACTTGTGCCCTGTTTACTAAAACAGCTTATGTTTCACAAGTGTACATGTATATATTTTGTTAAACTGTACAGAACACTGAGCACGCACTGGCGACACTAGTTAGGGGGTTTTACTTGTTAGAAGACCTTCCACTGGTACCAACAATTTAGACCTTGGAGTTTAACTTGCATTTCAGAGATTTCAACCCTCGCCACAAGCAGCTCTTCGAGGGCATCATTGTTTCTCATGTACATCTTTTTAATCAATTTAAGTTATTTAAGTGATTTTCCACACTATCGATATTCGAGATATATCGATTCAGCTGATAAATGGAAATACAAATATAAGTTTTAAGCTGGGTTATCGATTATCTCATCTTCCTGAATTTCATCTTTGTCCTTTTGGACATCCGTGACACATCCCCGGACATCATCAGAGCCAATTCGTCTTTTCCTTTTCTTCTTTCCAAGTCTTCTGCATAAACCGTATTTTAGATGGCGCATCATGATTGGTATATCGCTAAAGACGATGATTCCAATGAAAAATGCAATGAGTAATGGTCCAAATATTGTCCCAAAGGCAATGGCAGAGGCACGTTTATCAAAGACAGATAATCGTTTGCGAAGCTTTTTATTCAAATCTGCTTTATTAACTTTCAACTCCTTTTTCATTTTTTCGATTTTAGCTTTGAGCACTTTCTTGTCCGTAATGAAGACCTGATTTTTCATTCGCTCGCATGGACACATACAACCTTTAAAAAAAAGAATTGCTCAATTTAAAACTTAAGAACATATGATACAAACAAAAAATTTTTTTGGGCCTAATTTCAATGAAAATGATGCAAATAATAAATTTCTAGAATACGAAGAAATTGTAAACCTTCTATGATATTCAAAATTCTGCCTCTCTGAATCCATCCTTATTAATCTAATATACAAATATCCCATTTTTGTGAAAATTTGAATAAAAAGTTAAAAACTACGCGGTGAAACTTATTCATTTTACTCATTAAAACTTGACTCATGTTGTTATTTTAATTTTTTTGACAAAAGTTTGTTTGTATCTTCTGTCCTTTTTTTAAAAAACTTTTTCAACTTTTCTTTTCAGTATGAAATTCTTTCAGATTCAATCATATTTGCGTATATACTAAAGCATGGCGTTTTAAAGGTGACTAGACAAATGTATCTTTTAGCTTTCAAGAGTCTGATCCATAGAAATATAGTTTTGATAAGAAAGCATATCAACTGGTTTTGTGCAAGTTCGATTTGCTTTTCTTTTTGTTAAGGACATTCGTACGTAAGATTCATACGTACGATTTCTGAGGAGATGGCTTAAAATATATTAAAACTTTAAACATTATTTTCAGGTCCCTTGTGTCACTAAACAGACTCAAATGTTCAGTCACCTGTAAATTGTTTATTAATTGTAAACTATATCTTTAAATTAACAGTTGAAGCCAAAATATTTGAAAGAATAAATTGCATCAAGCAGACACAATCTATTCCGTGTTATTGCACACTGGTACAAAATGCCTTTGATATTTAAAAGACTACCTTGGTTCACAGAGGAAGCTGTAGTTGATTTCATAAGATAAGTTGTTTGCGTTGTTGACAAGGATGATGATACATATACGGATTGGAATGTGTCTGTTGACGATTTAACTGTGCTTGATGATTTCGGTGTAGATGTTGACAAGGAAGATGCGGCCAATGTGGAGCTGACGGTTTTTAAAGGTGAAGTTGTAGTTGATGGTACAGAATCAGTGGTTGATGATTTTGGCGCCAATGTTGAACTGACGGCTTTTGACGATTTAGTTTGAGTTGATGAGGATACCGATGTTGAACTACCAGTTGATGTAGTTGGAGTTGATGTTGATACCGATGTTGAACTACCGGTGGTTGGCGATGTACTTGGAGTTGATGTTGATACTGATGTTGAACTGCCGGTTGTTGACGATGTAGTTGGAGTTGATACCGATGTTGAACTACCGGTGGTTGGCGATGTACTTGGAGTTGATGTTGATACCGATGTTGAACTACCGGTGGTTGACGATGTAGTTGGAGATGATGTTGACACCGATGTTGAACTACCGGTTGTTGACGATGTAGTTGGAGTTGATGTTGATACCGATGTTGAACTACTGGCTGTTGACGATGTAGTTAGAATTGATGCTGATACCGATGTTGATGGTACGGGATCGGTTGTTAATCTTGATACCGATGCTAATGTTGTAGCTGTGTAGTTGATGTTCATATAAAAAATATAATGTTTGTAGCAATTTTTTATGTTAAATGTTTTGTTTTACGGTAGATACTGAGTAATTTCTTGAGTTGATAATGTGGATCAAATCATTTATTCACTGATTCTTGTAAAAATTTAAATCGCCGGAGATTTATGTAAAGGGGGTGGGGGCCCATTCTCCAAAATTATCTTCGCGCTAGCTCTGTGTTTCAAATTTTGCCATTAAGTATTGGGATTAAAAATGCTTGGTTTGGAAAGTTTAGTCAAGTTAGGTGCTAAATGATACATGGACAGTAAACAAAAACTTCGAATGGCTTATTTTGAAAAGATGAACCTAATGAATAAGACTATATTCATAATAGATAGATAATTTTGCTTGTGTTAATATATAAAAGATCTTACCTTCAAAACTGGAAGAACATAAAACAGGGAGTTGGGTGTTGCACGGCAATATAACAAATTGTGATGTTTTGCCACTGAACGCTACGCAGTCAGAAGCGTTGGAATTGTCAGTTAGTGTTTTCCAGTCTTCTAGTCCAAAACACTGAGTCTCATTTCGAATATTCATGAAGTATCCTTCTAAAACTAGGTCAGGAGCACCAATCCAAACTTCTGTCCTATTTTTAATCCTTTATTAAAAAAAGTTTTGTGTAAAGAAAATAAAATAACATGGAGATGTTTACTTCACTTAGAAAAAACAATTCAAGGTCCATTGGCCACATCGCTCATCGTAGCATACTGGCTGGGAAGAAGCCGAAATCAATCCAGTATTGAATTGCAAAGTAAAATTAACACTACCTCCACTGTATACAAAGTGCTAATCGAAAATCTACTTGATTTGGATCACTTGCTATATTGCTTTGGGTACTCTGATGCATTATGGGTAAAAAAGAAAATTCTGCTAGCAAAATATGGGTAAAAGTAACTTTAAGAAATTAGAAAACTTATAAAACCTTTATAGAATCAATGTAAATTTATTTGAGAAAATTTTTAAGTTGAAACAAGTCAGAAATTCGATACCATTCTCATTTACTAAGTTAAAATGGGATTTTCGCTCATTTTGAATTATTTCAATTGTTCTTAATTTTTTCAAACTATATTCTGTTGTAAAAGTTATTGTATCTTAGTTGCGTGGACCCTGCGGTCCACGCAGTAAATATATAAGCGAAGTTAAACCGGATGCCCTGGGCAAACGACAGGCTACGCATGCGCGCGAATGCTAGAGAGTTCGCACCTTAGGTAACTTGCCCGTAGAATAATTCGCCCTATTCGAATTAAAATATGCCATTCGTTTGCAAATCGCGCTTTTAAATCTGCATATCGCATTTACATATTCATTGGCAGATCCGATTTCCTCTCTTTTACATATACTTTTATACTAAACATTGATTCTATGGTACAGTTACAGTATATAGGTACATGTAACTTATCAACTTGAATGAAAAACGTCACTCAACGAACAGAGATACATGTAGCATTTAAAAGATAGAGCAAGTTTTCACCGGCATAAGTTTTGTGCATCAAGGCTCGCAAAATAATTTGATATATCAGCAATCTAAATATCGTTTGATAAAGGTCTGTAGCAACGGCTTTTAATGTATGTGTGTGTTGTGTTGGGGGGGGGGGGGGGGGGGGGGGGGCTCCGACAAAAAAAAAAAAAACAAATCTGCGTACTACAGAACTATGCTACTCGTGAATCATCACACCTCCATTTTTCCCATGATAATTTTCTTCCGTATAAATCCAGAACAGGTGTAAAGTCCCAGCCAATATGAGTTACACGTGTCAAAATAAACCGATTTTTTTAGTAATAGTTAGATCATATTAAGTAAAATTTTAATGTTTAAGAAGGGGCGGAGGGAGCGAAGCGACCGAGCCCCCTTCTTAACCACTAAAATTTTACTTAATATGATCTAACTTACTTAGAACTTAATCGCGCTTTTTCATTGGCTAATTAGTCAGCCCGCGGAGTTACTGCATAGACATAAAATCTTGACAATTAAGTGATCAGCTTAATAGAAAATTTAGCAGCTGCTGATTGGAGGAAAAAGTGGGTTAGGTTCTAAAACATGTTTAAACTGACAAAACTAAAGATCGCTAATCGGAGATAAAATTTCACAATTGTGCTTTGAGACTACAATCAGTTATAAGTGGCAGATAATTTTCGATTAAGTGAACAAACCTTATACATGAATATTCCCTACACCTAGAAGTTTTCTTAATTGAATTTCAGTTAGAAAAAACACGCATATGGTCCACGTATTGCAGTCCTTTTTTAAAGGAGAGCAACTTGTTTTCGCCTCAATTCACCCACAAAACATCATCTGATTTCTATAAATTACGCTCTTTAGAGAAATTGGGCTATTCTTGTTTTGAGTGAATGCTATTACTATGTTTGCAACATATTTTTGCGATGGCTATACTTTTTTCGGATCCTTTTTGTGATTTGCATGAAATTAAGATTAATTGTTTTCTGATAAAATTATCGCGATTTAAACAGTTTTGAAAAAGGTATTGGCATTTATTATCACAAGAGAAACATTTATCAGTCGAAAGAAGTTAAACAGAAATAAATAAATATAGAATTTGGTGAAATGTGCTATCATTGCTGGTGTTTGTGCGATACTTGATTTGCGTTTTGTCACGATTGATACAGAAATGCTATGTTTGATTTGTGTAGAATACTTCTTGAAGAATGAGGGCGTATATAGGAGGAGTATAATCCAAAGACACTGTCTCAAGTTTATGTCATTAAATAACTTATTGATAAATACACGTAATATATTTTTACTTATGTTTTAAAGGTATGTAAAACGGAAAAAAGCGCTTCACAAAGTAATCGAATTTTTTCCAAAGCTCATGATAGGCGTAAGACTAAATGCGTTAACCACAATATGCTACGGTGTCTTCTTGTTGTTTGTGTGTTAGTTTGCTTAAAAAGAAACGAATTTGTTGAGACAAATAAGTTTTTTCAACCTATCATTTAATTTATCTTGGGTCGTTTTCTTTTTCTTACTTCTCTCACCCAACTGTTAGACCTTTGTTTTTATACTAAATTTGATTACGAAATGTTCCGTTCACTTGATCAATACATAGGGCTCACAGCGTGTGTGACCGATCAACAAGGGATGCTTTGTTACAACGCGAAATAATTTAATTCTGTGTGTATTCTTGTCTCTCATTGGTTGATTTCCAAAAAGGAACGCATAACATTTTGTATAATCTGGTTTGGTATGGGGACACACCCCCTTGACAACCAGCTGAATCATCTGTATCCATCAATCCCCTCATTTCCAGTCCTTCGGATTCATGAAAAATTCCAGATTTAATGAATGTACCTTTAACTTGAAACAGTTGCTCGATCTTACCTCATGTAAACAAGCAACATAGCTGCTATATCTATGTATCAGTTTTTACCTCCCCTTGCTTCCCATCACTTCCGTTACTACGGTTGTATTATTGCGCGGTAAATTTGAACTAATAAAAACAACACAATTTTACATCCCCAGTTGTTTAATTATTTTAAAATTAAATTATAAGGAATGACTCTAATTCTTGGCCAGATTATCGAGTATAATATGGTTTGGGTCAGTTTACGCTTTTTTATAATCCGCTTCGCGGATTATAAAGCATAAACTGACCCAAACCATATTATACTCGATAATCTGGCCAAGAATTAGAGTCATTCCTTAATTATTACATTTCGCGTTATTACATTTTGCGTCGAGATCAACGCAAAATGTAATAACGCAAAATGTAATAGCACGATTTTTAGATTATTACATTTTGCGTTATTACATTTCGCGTCGAGATCAATGCAAAATGCAATAACGTCCTTTTCCGTTGTTACATTTTGCGTTATTTTATTTTTGCATTGAAGACAACGCAAAATGTAATAAACAATATGTAATAAAACAAAAAAAAATTTTTTTGTCTGTGTTTAACAAAAAAGATCATAAAATTGATCCAAATATACACATGTTACGAACATGAGAAACATGCTGTTAAAATATTTAGAACTAAAACAATGAGACCAACGTTAGGGCTTTTACAGACATAAATACATCTGAATGTATCGTTTTTCTGACTCTGATTTTAGTTGTATTGAATACATTGTACATACTTAATTATAAAAAATTTATTTAACTTTGATTGGCATATTTTTGATAGTTTTATTAAATTTCTAACCAATAACACATAGCTAGTTACCAAAGATTGACCATAGGTTCATTAAAAGCTCTTGATATGCATATTCGGCATGTATACATTGGTTAACAAATTAGAAGTGTATGTGTGTGTCAAGCGAGGAGGGGCAGGGATAGGGTTGGGTGTTTACTTCGTATGTTTATTACTGCATTATTGTGGACATGCAGAAAAAATCCATTTTATTATAGGATGGAAAGAAAGAGAAAAGATAGAATTTTGTTTTTGCTTGTCTGCAATGCTGTAGATTTGCTTAGAACAGTATGGAATCATTATTGTCAATAAACCCCTTCCTGCTATACATTTACACCTGCCAGTACAAATGCATATTTTTTTAGATTCATAGCATTTGTCTATAAAAGAAAGCAAAAGCACACTGGTCAATACCCCCAACAACCCTGCCCACAAATGCACGTTTCTAATTTGCAACACCTATAATTTGAATACATTTATTAAACTGATTTTAAACATATATAGCTAATTCAATAAATCTATATATTATAAAATTTATTAATTGTAAGAAATTGTATATATCTATTTTTTTTTCCTTTTAATTTATTTTCTTTTCATCGGCCACTACACTATTGAAAATTGTACTCAATCTGGCTGACGAAAAAAAATGTGTAATTACATTTTGCGTGCCTGTCTTTTGCTTAATCTGGGTACATCCCACTAATTATTTTTAGAATCGGTAGGAGAAGAAAGTAGTGCAGAAAAAATTACAAGTTCCTTAATTTGCAGACTTGCATAAAAAAAATTGGGCAGATGTACTGAACTGAGCCTCACACTTGTTAATTAGCAGTATCTTTCCTACCAAAAAAGCTTGGCAAATGTAATTTATCAAGAAGATCAGCCGAATTATTTTGTGTATTATAACGCCAGTGAGAACTCTGAAATTTCCCTACTTTCACTTTCATTTTTAGAGGTTCCCGCAGACAGACGCATTTTGCCGGAAAACGAATCTGACATGCCACCTCGAGATTTTAACCAAGGAAAGACAAGTTGATGTGCTTTGATTTGAGGGGTCACTCACTTCTGAACGAAAATTAGGGACATCGCTATGAGAAGAAACGTTAACATTGTCGCCTATGGGAAAACAATTAGTGGACTGTACCCATATTGGGAAGCCTATAAGTAAGTGATAGATGTCATAGACCTTGAATTTATTTCAAAGTTGGTGTTTTCTATTATTTTCAATTGTTAAAATTTATGAAAAAAACAATTCTTTTATTGTTGATTTACATTTTTAAACAAATTGATTCATAAATAAAGTGTCTAGCCCCCCCCCCCCCCCCCCCTCCCGGAACAGTCAACATGCTCATACGTGTATCACCCATCGTTTACACATGTATCGTGTAGATTAAATGTATCGATTTATATCATTTATTTATTCAGAATCATAAATATATAATTTGATGAAGAAACAATTATGTAGAAGTACATGATCCACTGTGGTTTATTTTCAATACACAAAAATTCACAAATGAGGTCGGGATCGGTATTCAATCAGGGTCAAGGTCGAAGTGAAAGTAGACTTAGCAGAAAGTTATCAAAACTGGTCAGTGCAGTGTTTAGCAGTTTATGGGTGATGGGCATTTGTATTTTACACAGGCGGTAAGAGGTATACCTTAGTACAGTATTTGTAAATAGCAATTTAATGTTTTTGGAACATGATGATTGACAGGTCACATACAGGACATACATCATTTCAGATCAGTTGCGCGCTGTCAAGCTGGGTACAGTGTCTGGGAGTTAAACGATGTGTGTGGACATGTACATTAACTAATTTTTCTCATATTTTTTAGCAATTGCATTACATGTATTTGTTGAATGTACAATTATTGTCAGTAAAACATGCTTTTTACCTATTCTGCTGAATTAACTTAATTACCAATGTTAACAGTGTGATTTCAAGTGGAAGCAAATTCATCATTTTTAATTAATTTCAAATTAGGGGCATAAAAGGAATATGGTAAAATTGTATGTGTTGAATGTCTGTGTGTCTGTATGTCTGTCTGCAAATGTGATATTGTGCCATTTATTGTATTGATTTTTTTTTTAGGTTCATGGTGATTGGTACAGGAAAACTATGAGGTTCATGCAGATGGTGTTTAAAACTATTGGCCAGCAAATGCAAATACATCTTGAAACATCATCAGCAAAATGTGACAGTCGGCAAAATGTGTAAGTTAAAATTTCTTTTAAAAAAATTTCATTGAAGTGGAGGTGGGGTGGGGAGTGGGGGTGGGGGTGGGGGTGGGGGGTGTACATATTGAATAGGTGATAAGAATATGGAAGTATTTATCTATAACTAATCTGTACATGCACTGCTATATACATTTTGCAGCTCATATAGATTTTCTTTTCTTATTTAAGAATTTCAAATTAATTAGATCTACATCTTTGTTTGTAAATTATGTATTATTAAGATTACACGGATATAAGAATTGACATTTCATAAATGTTTGACTGTCAAAATTATGCCCTTTGTCAAAAATTCAAAATTTTGTCTCATTTTCCTACAAATTACAAAATGGTTACCATGGAAACAAAACAGCTTTACTAGATTATTTATTAAATCTGCAAAACCACATATTTTTATTTTTTAAAGTTATAATGAATATATTATCACTGATTTTGTCTTAAATGAAAAGTACGGGAAAAGTGATGATACACATGTATTGAGCTATCCATTATTATGATGTCATTGTGACGTCATAGATGACTAAATTTGCATTGGCATAAAAATTGCTTTGAAACAAATGATTCTATATAGGAGTATAAAGGCTTATAACTTTTTTATTCATAGACCAAATTTCATGAATGATATGTCAATGGACAGGAAATAATCAGTACTTTCTTATTTTACTACATTCGGGGTATTTGTTAACTTAATTTTTTGGTCATTTCTGGAGAAACTATGACTTATAGGGTGAAAAATGGTCATATTTTGTGCGGAAATACATAAATTTTTTAAAATAAGTGAAATTGACCCAATTAAATGCTTGATTATGATTTGACTATATGTACTTAAAGTTATGAAGCAGAATAAGAATGGTATAAATGTGTTAATAAGCTAAAATTTGACTTAAAACTTGGGAGCAGTTTTGGCTAGATTGGAGCATTTTTTAAGGATATTACACATGGAATTGTAAATGCTGTAAAATCTGAATTAATGGTTGAATTTTCATGAAACTTGGCATGATGTCTCTACTTATGCTCTAGATTGACAAACAGTGTGAAATATTGTAAAATCAAAAAAATGCTTTCTCATATTGGGTACATCCCACTAATTATTTTTAGAATCGGTAGGAGAAGAAAGTAGTGCAGAAAAAATTACAAGTTCCTTAATTTGCAGACTTGCATAAAAAAAATTGGGCAGATGTACTGAACTGAGCCTCACACTTGTTAATTAGCAGTATCTTTCCTACCAAAAAAGCTTGGCAAATGTAATTTATCAAGAAGATCAGCCGAATTATTTTGTGTATTATAACGCCAGTGAGAACTCTGAAATTTCCCTACTTTCACTTTCATTTTTAGAGGTTCCCGCAGACAGACGCATTTTGCCGGAAAACGAATCTGACATGCCACCTCGAGATTTTAACCAAGGAAAGACAAGTTGATGTGCTTTGATTTGAGGGGTCACTCACTTCTGAACGAAAATTAGGGACATCGCTATGAGAAGAAACGTTAACATTGTCGCCTATGGGAAAACAATTAGTGGACTGTACCCATATTGGGAAGCCTATAAGTAAGTGATAGATGTCATAGACCTTGAATTTATTTCAAAGTTGGTGTTTTCTATTATTTTCAATTGTTAAAATTTATGAAAAAAACAATTCTTTTATTGTTGATTTACATTTTTAAACAAATTGATTCATAAATAAAGTGTCTAGCCCCCCCCCCCCCCTCCCGGAACAGTCAACATGCTCATACGTGTATCACCCATCGTTTACACATGTATCGTGTAGATTAAATGTATCGATTTATATCATTTATTTATTCAGAATCATAAATATATAATTTGATGAAGAAACAATTATGTAGAAGTACATGATCCACTGTGGTTTATTTTCAATACACAAAAATTCACAAATGAGGTCGGGATCGGTATTCAATCAGGGTCAAGGTCGAAGTGAAAGTAGACTTAGCAGAAAGTTATCAAAACTGGTCAGTGCAGTGTTTAGCAGTTTATGGGTGATGGGCATTTGTATTTTACACAGGCGGTAAGAGGTATACCTTAGTACAGTATTTGTAAATAGCAATTTAATGTTTTTGGAACATGATGATTGACAGGTCACATACAGGACATACATCATTTCAGATCAGTTGCGCGCTGTCAAGCTGGGTACAGTGTCTGGGAGTTAAACGATGTGTGTGGACATGTACATTAACTAATTTTTCTCATATTTTTTAGCAATTGCATTACATGTATTTGTTGAATGTACAATTATTGTCAGTAAAACATGCTTTTTACCTATTCTGCTGAATTAACTTAATTACCAATGTTAACAGTGTGATTTCAAGTGGAAGCAAATTCATCATTTTTAATTAATTTCAAATTAGGGGCATAAAAGGAATATGGTAAAATTGTATGTGTTGAATGTCTGTGTGTCTGTATGTCTGTCTGCAAATGTGATATTGTGCCATTTATTGTATTGATTTTTTTTTTAGGTTCATGGTGATTGGTACAGGAAAACCATGAGGTTCATGCAGATGGTGTTTAAAACTATTGGCCAGCAAATGCAAATACATCTTGAAACATCATCAGCAAAATGTGACAGTCGGCAAAATGTGTAAGTTAAAATTTCTTTTAAAAAAATTTCATTGAAGTGGAGGTGGGGTGGGGAGTGGGGGTGGGGGTGGGGGTGGGGGGTGTACATATTGAATAGGTGATAAGAATATGGAAGTATTTATCTATAACTAATCTGTACATGCACTGCTATATACATTTTGCAGCTCATATAGATTTTCTTTTCTTATTTAAGAATTTCAAATTAATTAGATCTACATCTTTGTTTGTAAATTATGTATTATTAAGATTACACGGATATAAGAATTGACATTTCATAAATGTTTGACTGTCAAAATTATGCCCTTTGTCAAAAATTCAAAATTTTGTCTCATTTTCCTACAAATTACAAAATGGTTACCATGGAAACAAAACAGCTTTACTAGATTATTTATTAAATCTGCAAAACCACATATTTTTATTTTTTAAAGTTATAATGAATATATTATCACTGATTTTGTCTTAAATGAAAAGTACGGGAAAAGTGATGATACACATGTATTGAGCTATCCATTATTATGATGTCATTGTGACGTCATAGATGACTAAATTTGCATTGGCATAAAAATTGCTTTGAAACAAATGATTCTATATAGGAGTATAAAGGCTTATAACTTTTTTATTCATAGACCAAATTTCATGAATGATATGTCAATGGACAGGAAATAATCAGTACTTTCTTATTTTACTACATTCGGGGTATTTGTTAACTTAATTTTTTGGTCATTTCTGGAGAAACTATGACTTATAGGGTGAAAAATGGTCATATTTTGTGCGGAAATACATAAATTTTTTAAAATAAGTGAAATTGACCCAATTAAATGCTTGATTATGATTTGACTATATGTATTTAAAGTTATGAAGGTGAATAAGAATGGTATAAATGTGTTAATAAGCTAAAATTTGACTTAAAACTTGGGAGCAGTTTTGGCTAGATTGGAGCATTTTTTAAGGATATTACACATGGAATTGTAAATGCTGTAAAATCTGAATTAATGGTTGAATTTTCATGAAACTTGGCATGATGTCTCTACTTATGCTCTAGATTGACAAACAGTGTGAAATATTGTAAAATCAAAAAAATGCTTTCTCATATTGGGTACATCCCACTAATTATTTTTAGAATCGGTAGGAGAAGAAAGTAGTGCAGAAAAAATTACAAGTTCCTTAATTTGCAGACTTGCATAAAAAAAATTGGGCAGATGTACTGAACTGAGCCTCACACTTGTTAATTAGCAGTATCTTTCCTACCAAAAAAGCTTGGCAAATGTAATTTATCAAGAAGATCAGCCGAATTATTTTGTGTATTATAACGCCAGTGAGAACTCTGAAATTTCCCTACTTTCACTTTCATTTTTAGAGGTTCCCGCAGACAGACGCATTTTGCCGGAAAACGAATCTGACATGCCACCTCGAGATTTTAACCAAGGAAAGACAAGTTGATGTGCTTTGATTTGAGGGGTCACTCACTTCTGAACGAAAATTAGGGACATCGCTATGAGAAGAAACGTTAACATTGTCGCCTATGGGAAAACAATTAGTGGACTGTACCCATATTGGGAAGCCTATAAGTAAGTGATAGATGTCATAGACCTTGAATTTATTTCAAAGTTGGTGTTTTCTATTATTTTCAATTGTTAAAATTTATGAAAAAAACAATTCTTTTATTGTTGATTTACATTTTTAAACAAATTGATTCATAAATAAAGTGTCTAGCCCCCCCCCCCCCCCTCCCGGAACAGTCAACATGCTCATACGTGTATCACCCATCGTTTACACATGTATCGTGTAGATTAAATGTATCGATTTATATCATTTATTTATTCAGAATCATAAATATATAATTTGATGAAGAAACAATTATGTAGAAGTACATGATCCACTGTGGTTTATTTTCAATACACAAAAATTCACAAATGAGGTCGGGATCGGTATTCAATCAGGGTCAAGGTCGAAGTGAAAGTAGACTTAGCAGAAAGTTATCAAAACTGGTCAGTGCAGTGTTTAGCAGTTTATAGGTGATGGGCATTTGTATTTTACACAGGCGGTAAGAGGTATACCTTAGTACAGTATTTGTAAATAGCAATTTAATGTTTTTGGAACATGATGATTGACAGGTCACATACAGGACATACATCATTTCAGATCAGTTGCGCGCTGTCAAGCTGGGTACAGTGTCTGGGAGTTAAACGATGTGTGTGGACATGTACATTAACTAATTTTTCTCATATTTTTTAGCAATTGCATTACATGTATTTGTTGAATGTACAATTATTGTCAGTAAAACATGCTTTTTACCTATTCTGCTGAATTAACTTAATTACCAATGTTAACAGTGTGATTTCAAGTGGAAGCAAATTCATCATTTTTAATTAATTTCAAATTAGGGGCATAAAAGGAATATGGTAAAATTGTATGTGTTGAATGTCTGTGTGTCTGTATGTCTGTCTGCAAATGTGATATTGTGCCATTTATTGTATTGATTTTTTTTTTAGGTTCATGGTGATTGGTACAGGAAAACTATGAGGTTCATGCAGATGGTGTTTAAAACTATTGGCCAGCAAATGCAAATACATCTTGAAACATCATCAGCAAAATGTGACAGTCGGCAAAATGTGTAAGTTAAAATTTCTTTTAAAAAAATTTCATTGAAGTGGAGGTGGGGTGGGGAGTGGGGGTGGGGGTGGGGGTGGGGGGTGTACATATTGAATAGGTGATAAGAATATGGAAGTATTTATCTATAACTAATCTGTACATGCACTGCTATATACATTTTGCAGCTCATATAGATTTTCTTTTCTTATTTAAGAATTTCAAATTAATTAGATCTACATCTTTGTTTGTAAATTATGTATTATTAAGATTACACGGATATAAGAATTGACATTTCATAAATGTTTGACTGTCAAAATTATGCCCTTTGTCAAAAATTCAAAATTTTGTCTCATTTTCCTACAAATTACAAAATGGTTACCATGGAAACAAAACAGCTTTACTAGATTATTTATTAAATCTGCAAAACCACATATTTTTATTTTTTAAAGTTATAATGAATATATTATCACTGATTTTGTCTTAAATGAAAAGTACGGGAAAAGTGATGATACACATGTATTGAGCTATCCATTATTATGATGTCATTGTGACGTCATAGATGACTAAATTTGCATTGGCATAAAAATTGCTTTGAAACAAATGATTCTATATAGGAGTATAAAGGCTTATAACTTTTTTATTCATAGACCAAATTTCATGAATGATATGTCAATGGACAGGAAATAATCAGTACTTTCTTATTTTACTACATTCGGGGTATTTGTTAACTTAATTTTTTGGTCATTTCTGGAGAAACTATGACTTATAGGGTGAAAAATGGTCATATTTTGTGCGGAAATACATAAATTTTTTAAAATAAGTGAAATTGACCCAATTAAATGCTTGATTATGATTTGACTATATGTATTTAAAGTTATGAAGCAGAATAAGAATGGTATAAATGTGTTAATAAGCTAAAATTTGACTTAAAACTTGGGAGCAGTTTTGGCTAGATTGGAGCATTTTTTAAGGATATTACACATGGAATTGTAAATGCTGTAAAATCTGAATTAATGGTTGAATTTTCATGAAACTTGGCATGATGTCTCTACTTATGCTCTAGATTGACAAACAGTGTGAAATATTGTAAAATCAAAAAAATGCTTTCTCATATTGGGTACATCCCACTAATTATTTTTAGAATCGGTAGGAGAAGAAAGTAGTGCAGAAAAAATTACAAGTTCCTTAATTTGCAGACTTGCATAAAAAAAATTGGGCAGATGTACTGAACTGAGCCTCACACTTGTTAATTAGCAGTATCTTTCCTACCAAAAAAGCTTGGCAAATGTAATTTATCAAGAAGATCAGCCGAATTATTTTGTGTATTATAACGCCAGTGAGAACTCTGAAATTTCCCTACTTTCACTTTCATTTTTAGAGGTTCCCGCAGACAGACGCATTTTGCCGGAAAACGAATCTGACATGCCACCTCGAGATTTTAACCAAGGAAAGACAAGTTGATGTGCTTTGATTTGAGGGGTCACTCACTTCTGAACGAAAATTAGGGACATCGCTATGAGAAGAAACGTTAACATTGTCGCCTATGGGAAAACAATTAGTGGACTGTACCCATCTCGACGCAAAATGTAATAACGCAAAATGTAATGATCAGAAAATTGTGTTATTACATTTTGCGTTATTACATTTTGCGTTGATCTCGACGCAAAATGTAATAACGCAAAATGTAATAGTCCTCAAAAGTGTGCTGTTACATTTTGCGTTATTACATTCTGCGTTGATTTCAACGCAAAATGTTATAACACAAAATGTAACAATCCAGGTTTATTACATTTCGCGTTGATATTACATTTCGCGTTGTAACAATGCTTACTCCTCTAGGTACCCGTTCCAATCTCTGGATCTCTGGTATTCCCGGGGGGGGGGGGGGGGCCGTATTTATGCCCTGCCCACATGTTTGTATTGTTTGTATATTTTTCGACATAAATCAATACTCATTATCCTCACTTTTTTTTCATTTCAGAAATATTCAACTTTTAGATAGAATGGGTTCAGACGCCATTAAAAAACACAATGCATTTACTTTTCCGTAATTTAAACACAATACCTCGGATTGAAACCTGGTCCGTTCATATTTAAAAATAAATCTTTATAGCTAGAATCATTTAATATAAACGTACCCATTTTCGACTAAATAAGTCTAAAAACAATTTTCAATCAATATGCCTTTCAGAACAATATATGAATCTAATATGTTGAAGATGACATTACCGACAACATAATTTTAGAAAAATCAAACTTTTCCGGGTGATTGTCCTCGCCTTGTACACTTTTTTCTCTCTTTTATAAATCTATGATAAAGAGATTATAATGCAACTTGTGTAATATTTCACTTATTTTCACACTATCATTAGACATCAGAACTTAATTAAAACTAAGAATCTGAAACAGAATCTATGAAGATAAAAGTTTAATTAAAATTTGGCATTAAATCCCCATAGACAGATCCAGAAAAGCGGATAAAGGTTAGGGGATCAAGACCTGATAATTTTTTCAATTTCACTAAAACTTAAGAATATTAAAGTAATCATATCAAAATAACCCCCCCCCTCCCTCCTTCCCAAGAAACGCAAACTCTTAACAGTCAGTCTACGATAAAAGAATATAGTTCCAGAAGTTCACTGATTTTCAGGGATATGTTATGATTTCTATGAAAAAAGATCCATGCATTTCTTTGAGAAATGTGGTAACCATTTGTTTTCTTTTTATTACATGAATTTCTTTTAAATATTTCATGCAATCTCTTCTTAACGCTTATTTGAGTAAATGAACGAAGCGGCATTACGATTTGAAGTTGAATGCGTTTTAATTAATCATTAAATTATCAAATCAAAACTTAGAATGCATATATATGCCACTAAATATTTACAAAACCCTGTGTATATGTAAAGTCTAAGAGTTGAAATCGATCTTTAAAATTTTACAATATTACATGTAAATTGGTGAGCAACATGAAAATTCTTAATTCGGTATGTTTTTGTTGATGAATGACTGTCATAAGTTGATAGGAAAAATGAGAATATATATGGAAGAATGTAGCTTGTCCACCAATTAAGCCGACCCCATCCCCAACCATAAAATAGGATTTTTGTATTGGGATCTTTTAGTGTTATGGACAACAATGTAACCCCCTCCCGTTTCCCGAAGAAATTTATGCTTGAGCAATCCTTTATTCCGGAATGAAAAAATGGAACTTAACATATAAAATAACAAAATAAAAACGTCATTACAGTTGCTTCCATTAGAAATTAAAAAAGATACTGTCACGAAAGGTTCAAAATGTTATAGATAGGGGTATAATTTATTTTATTAAAAGAAAAATAAGTAACGTCAGGTGCCTGTGTGTTTGTACTCTCCTAAGTAACTTACCAAGAGGCCACACTACTTTTTCTATAATTTATATACTTAAATACATATGTATCACGCTCACCGATTGAGCATAAAATGCTTAAGGTGAGCATATGACACATGGACCTCCTACGGACTGGGACATTGTTGAAATGTAAGAGGAGTCTTGGGAAGAAAATATTGTACAGTACTGTTGTAAACACAAAGTAACGTCAATAAATTATTTTACTAATTGCACTAGGCCTAAATGCTATATGTATACTCGAAAAAAGTATAGCTGTCATGACAACAAAGATAGCTTTCTGGATATTTTCTACGCAAACATAATATAGCTCTGGAAAAGTTGGGTAGGTGCATATTTGATGTAATTGCCAGGTTATAAAGAAGACCTTGTGGTCGAATTTGATAGCTTACGTTTGATAAAGATTCATATTAAACATTACAATAAATGTTTTATTGAAATAATGTCAACAGTCCATTCCAGAGGATGATTAGTCGAAAAATGACCATTAGATGCGTGAAAAACGCGTGCTACAGATGTTTATGGAGGGGTAGATGAAACAAAAATATGATTATCTTTAAATATACCAAGAATAAGTCTTATATTGGTTGAAGTAGTTCTATTATTAGTAAGAAAACGTATATAAAGGACATTTTTTGTCTAAATGTGCAGACAGAAACTTCGAATGATCCAAACAAATATAGCTAGTGATCCAAATCAAGTAGATTTTCGAATAGCACTTTGTATACAGTGACCTCTAGATGCTTCTACACATGTATATCAATATCGCTAATCATAGCTCTGCTATTCTGAATGATAAAAAAAATTATATTATAAAAAAAAAATGTTTTTTGTTTTCTTATGTAAAACTCAGATTGGTCATTGTGATCCCATCCTACCTATCGTAATATTATTCCCAAGTAAACCTTTACCCAATGTTGTGCCACTGTCATACCCCAAGAGTCATGATTTGAACAAACTTAAATTGAATCTACACTACCTGAGGATTTTTAAGGAGTCACTGTCTATTTAGTATAGTATATGCCAAGGCATCAACAGTTGTGGGAAAATGCGATAATTTGCATAACGGGCGAAGCCCGATATGTATAAACTCGCACGCTTCCCACTATTAATTGATGTCCCTGACATATTATACTAATTAGATAGAGATTCCTTATATTTCCTTTTTATCGTGAAATAAAATGGTAGATTTAGATTTTAAAAATGTAGACCAAAAACGTAAATTACACGAGGCCCCCATACCAATATCAATAGTCCTCGCCCACTGATGACGAAAACGAAGACTGCCGCACGAGATTTACATTCATAATTGGCCACCTTAGCGGTAGACACAAAAACAGACGCGCATGTGATTTACGTGCATATAAGGCCTCCTTAGCTCCTGACCTATCGATTTGCCTCATTTACATTCCGGTAGAATTAGCAAGTAATCAACTCCACTAACTTTCAAAGAGTTATCACAGAGAAAACAAATAAAAATGGAAATGTTTCTATATGAATATGTTTAATAATGGTTTACTTGTTCTAAATAGATTTTTAAAGATATTTTCTATATATTACTTTGGTAAACATTGACCCCCTATTGTGACCCTGCCCTACCCTCGCGGGTTCTGATAGGAACAAATTTGAATGTAAATATGTCATGAGGCTTTCACATAAGTTTCATCTTTCCTGGGCAAGTGATTCTTGAGAAAAAGATTTTTAAAAAGATGCCACCAAATTGTCACGAATTCTTGAATATCTCCCCATTAAAAAGCGCAGCACTTCCTGTGAACAAGCGTGAATCCCCTCTAGCCTAGAATACCTAGTAGCAAGTTTGGATGATAATATTGGCCAAGTTCTTGAGAAGTTGAAAATGTGAAGTGTACAGACGAGAGACATGCAGCAGGAGCGGGCACCGAACACTCTTTGATCAGAAAAGTTCATTGGAGCCTTTTGCTCAAGTGACCTAAAAAGCCCTTGATCAACATAAATTAACATTTCCCTCAAGTTTTTGTTAACATAAAATAATACTTGAAATTTGTTTTTAAATCTCTTATTCAGTCTTTAAACTAACCCCAATGCTTTTCTTAAATTATAATTACTTAAATGAATGTATATTTGCCTGTAAAGAATATCTGTTTTCTTTTTATTTTATTTTAATATTGATTACCGGACACTGAGACATTTATTTCATTTTTTGGATATACATGTATATATAAATTTCCTTATACTTGTACTGAGTAAATACATTCTAGCTAATTAAAAAGTACTTTTTCATAATCAGATGAGGAAAAGAAAGAAAAAAAACCCAGAGGAAACTGGGTTGTCGAGACATTTGAAAAGAGTTTTGTACTTTTCAAAGGATTCTAATATAGCGGGTCTTTACTAGGTAGCCTTTACAAAAATCTACGTACAGTGTAAATGTGAGGTAAATAATTATTAATAGCTTTTTTTCTATTAACAATCTCTCCCAAAATTTCAAATTTGAATAATTTGCGCATTTATGTTCTATTTTTCTTGAAAATTCTGCTTCCTGCCACCTGCCCCCCCCCCCCCCCCCCCGAAAAAAAAAATGTATAGAAAATTTAAGATACTAGGAATGAGATCAGCCTTTGCATCGAAAAACAGCGAGATTAATCTGCAAGAAAAACTTACGTTTCATACAACAAATGCAATGTCATATTATCCGTCATTTCTGTGAAAGTTCTTTTATGTGTTTGACAAATTATATCGGCTTCAAAAAAGGAAGTGGCTTCTACAGATATCCACAGGTATATATCACTGCTAAGAGTTTCTTTCATCTCATCTGTACAATTTACTATAAGTAAAAAAGAAAGGAACGCATAATTGATCACGAAATCATATGTGAAAATCTCTGATTCTGTGTGTATTTTATTTCATGTCATGATGAAAATAAACGTACATACGATCTCTTTAGAGCATATGGCTTTGTACCGAAGATTGCAAGAATCATCATACCATCCGTTTTCACGCTTCCTAACACATGCATGATCCGTATTATACATGTACGTGCTATTATTTGGTTGCCCAAAAGCCCAGTTTTTATATTCAATGGATCTATGCATCATATCAACGAATTGTTTTTCGGTATACTTATAACGAATACCAATCCAATAGCCATGTCCAAAATACCTGTAATACAAAATAAAGTATTAATAATGAACATAATCTAATCTTGA